ACTCAGACAAAATAAAATCCAACAGTAAACAACACCCTAATCGAGCAACCACCAAGAACACTAATCAACACCAGCAGGACAAGTCAGAGGAAACCCCGTTCTACTTAGATGGAAAGTGAAATGTCTGAAAGCAAAACACGGAGCTCAGAGAGCCCCCAAGGACCCTGCAGTTCAACTCTGAACTACAAATATTCTCTTCTATTCAGAGGTGGGATGCTGCCAGTTCGCACTGGTCCTAGCGAACCAGTAGTTGACATTAGGTGCAGTTCAGCGAACTGGCAAATCCCCCCACTGGCTGGCCCCATCCCCACCTGTTTTTCACTCTGTTTTGGGGGCATTTTCAGGCCGTTTTTGGGCAGTTTTGGGGCTGTTTTTGGCAAAAACAGCCCGAAAAACAGCCTGAAAATGACCTGAAAAACAGCCCTAAAACAGCCTGGTTTTGGGACTGTTTTCAGGCTGTTTTTCGGGCCATTTTCTGGACCAAAAATGGCATGAAAATGGCCCCAAAAAGGCCCCCCCAAAAGGCTGAAAAACAGGCGGGGGCAGGGCCAGCCAGTGATGGGATTAGCCCCAACCGGCTGAATCCTCCCTCTTCCTTTGAGGCGAGTGGCTGGGAGGCGGGGCTGGTGTGATGAGTGATGTCACCCACCCAGTCACATGACCAACTGGCCACGCCTACCCAGCCAGAGAACTGGTTGTTAAAAACTTTGCAGCCCACCGCTGCTTCTATTGGTGCTGAAATTGCCACCCTGTGTCTTGAAGAAAGACAAGGAAGCATCTCTGGAACCAGGCTGTGCTCGTCATCATGTGAACTACAAATGCTGTATTTGAATTTGGAAATATGGGACTCGTAGATGGATGTCTTAGATTAGCTGCTTCTCTCTATTGAATATGTTCTATTTCTGGAGAGAGAAGCAGGGGAAAGGAAGAAGGAAATTAGAGTGTCCAGAAAATGTGGTAAGAAATCACCATAATATGAGTGAGGGGGATGTTGTGTTTCTTGGTTCTGTTTCCACCACTCCCGCTCCCCTTCCATGCCCCCTTGTTCACCTTCTTGTCTTGGTTGTGCTTGGAGCTGCTTCCCTCAAAGGAAATGCCAGAAGGGAGTCCTGAATGGGTGCTGGCTGGGCTGGGAGATTGCAAGCAGGCTGACTGGTGAGGAGGCAGCGACCAAGCGTCATGCCCCTGTTGGAGTCTGAATCCCAGGAGGAAGATGAACAGCTGACAGGGAGTGGGAGTGTGGCTCTGTAGGCTCTGGAGGAAACTGGGGAAGGGCAAAGTCCAGCCGGCCAGAACAGGGGAGAGGTAAAACAAGGGAGAGAGAATTCAGAGGAAGACCCAGGCCCATCCCCTCTTCATCCTAGGCCATGCAGGGAGGAACGGAGAAGGGAGCAATGTGGGTTGTGTGGCTTACGTGGGAGGAAAGGGCCCTGATTCCCTTCACACCTGGGAAGAGAGTTTAAAAGAGATGCAAGCTGAGTGAGGCATCTGCTGGGAACAAACATGAGTTTATCTTGTGTTGACTTTGTTTATCTGTGTTCCTGGCATCCTCCCAACTGGGTTGAATTACTGCCGTTCCTTCACATCTGGAATTCCTTCTCTTGCCCTGCCAGATAATTACCTCATCTTGCCTTGTTTGGATTTATAGTTATAGTTTTTGTTGACCACGTTTTGGACTTGATTCTCTGCAGCCAAAGGCTGTTCCTGGGAGAGTTTTTCTCCAGCCCGGAAGGTAACCAGGACATTGGGGGCAAAGTTGGAGCTAATAAAGGGACTCCTACTGATTATCTGACTGTGTGGCCTTTATGCCATGCCCCAGGTCATCACACCATGTTTCAGGATGTTGTTCTCCTGTGATTGGTCTCTTCTTGGAATCTGAGGTGTATGTGTGAATTTTTGTGTAGTAGTTGTGGCCCAAAAGCTCAGGGCAACATCCTCTTTCTCCAGTCAGCAACTGTGAGGGCCTGAAGAGGTTGGACAGTTTGCAAAGGTTTGTCATGAATGACTACAAAGATTCTCATCCAGGTCATAGTTGTCCCAAAGGTACTTTTTTTCCAAAAGGCAACTGGACTTTCTTGGTTTTTGTCTTTGAAAATATTTTACTTGTGCTCAAAATTGGAAAAATGATAAGATTCCGACAGAGGAAGAGGCGATTATGAAAATATTTGAATGTGCAGAAATGAAGTTGGCAATTAAAAAACAAGAAGAAACGGAATATTATATGATATGGGATTTATTTTATAAATGGTTGGAAAATAAAGAAAGAAGTTAAAAGAATGTAAGGTAAAATACATTAAGATTATTACAATGATAAGATAAATAAGGATGAGTAGTTTTTAATATGAATGTAACTATTGCCATTATAGTAAGTGATGTATCTCAAATATGAATATGTCCACAAGATATATGTACCCAGATGACACACTGTTGAATTGAAAAATGGATACGTTGTAAAAAATAAAAAAAATGAAATGAAAAGAAAAAAAATTGCTTCTCATCCAAGGATGAGGATCCATCTCTTTTCTCAAAGAGAACTGAAGAAGCTCCTTGGATGAGAAGCAAAATGTTTTCAAAGACAAAACCAAGAAAGTCCAGCCGCCTTTTGTAGAGAAAAAACCCACACTTTTGGGTCAGTCTTGAATGCTTTTGATTCCTACCATTCAGTTGACGGAGGGCGCAAATCCATTTGTCTCGGCCAATGCGAGCTAAAAAGCCATCCAGGGGGCTTGGAAAGCGTCCGTGAAGAGCTTCCACTGGGGCTGAGTGAGCTTTCATGAGCAGGGAAGAGGGAAACTTTGACGCTCCACTGTTTTCCTCGGAAGCCTCACGCCAAGCAAGGGAACCTCTACAGCTGCTTCGATGAAAGCAGCCACAAAGGAAGAGCCCATTGTTGCCTCGACTCGCCACCAGCCCTTCGAATGCTGCTCTGTCTCTTCCATTTACGGCACCCCGTCTCGGCTTCCATGGTTAGGATCTGGAGGCGGCACAATCCGGCCGCTGGAATTATGGGTTGCAGAATCCCAGCTGTGGGAAAATAAGTCAAACGCTTCCGATTCTTCTCTAGCAAGTAAAAGAAAGGGATGGCTCACTCTTTTTTTCTTTTTGGCTGCCAGGTGGCATCAAGGCTGCTTGAGCTTCTTCTCCTTGTGTTTGGCTGATTGCACTTGAATTCCTTCTAGAAGGAATTCTAGGTTCAAACCAGGCATCCCCCAGGGGGGGAATTTCCTCCATCCTTTTAAAATGCTGCCAGGTGGATCTGCTGCTGCTTTGACTTTTGTTGTCTTGCCAGAAGGTTGTAATTGTAACAGACCCCCCAAAAAGGGGACCAGACTCAAAGAGACAGGACCACCACATCTGCCAGAAATGGTGTAGAGCAGGGGTGTCCAACCTTGGTAACGTTAAGCCTGGAGGACTTCAACTCCCAGAATTCCCCAGCCAGCAAAGCTGGCTGGGGAATTCTGGGAGTTGAAGTCCTCCGG